ACAGCCCATTGGCGGCGGCAGCGGTGGCGGTGGCGGCCGGCGAGGAGAAGCGTGAGGGTGTGGAGAGTGGAGAGTGGGAAGTGGAGTAATTTTGATTTGTGTTACGATTCTTCTCTGGGTCTTCCAGCACCCATTTCGGGTCTCGCTTTCCCTTCACTTTTTCTGCCTTCGAGTGATATCAAATTTGGACCATTTTGTTTTCCAACTTCTCGGATGTGGTGCAAATAAATCTATATCAAAATTACACCAATACCTCTATTTTAAATCATATTATAATGTTTAACTACCTTTAAAATAATGAAAAATCTCATCAAAATTAATCGTTAGGTTTTTATTATATAATAATTTAGTTCCTATTTTTCTACCTTTTATATTTGTAATATGGTTTCATCTAAAATGGAATTGAGTTAGTTTATGAATGCAATCTCTTTAAAAAATAAAGAAATAAATTTGGTTTCTTGTTCATTTATCAATCTACGTATATAAAAAGAAGCTACGTTAGATCTTAACAACATTTTTCATAATAGAGATTAAATCGTTACAAAATCCTAAATTAAATAGACTAAATTGTTACAAACTAAAGTTTAGGAAACTAAACATCAATGACTAAATGGTTATTTCAATGAAAGTACATGGACGATGGATGTTTTTTCAACTTTTAAAATTTATGGACCTATTGACACAAAATTGAAAGTTTAAAGTTGAAATAGACACAAAATTAAATTTTTTTATGTAATACGTATTTGAATTTTAAAGAAAATTGGAACAAATTATCGACTTAATAGACATAAAATTGAAAATTTAAAGACTTTGACAAAATTGGAATTCTAGGGATCTAATAGATTCTTTTTAAAATTTAAAAATATATTAGACATCATCTTATAGACTAAACTTATAATTTAATGGTAGATATTTTATAAATTAAATTATAAAATTAGCCCTTCACCTGAAGTTTATGGTGGTATTTGTTTAGTCTCCTGAGTTTGACAAAAAATCAATTATCATCTATAAACTTCCGGTTTTGATTCTAATAATCGCTTAGGATTAATATAGATTATTATTATTTTAGTTCGTAGAAATTTTAACTTTTTGACATTTTTTTGTTAAAAATATATGACTTAACTAGTTGAGTTGGGCTCATATTAACCATAATATCAATATATTAGTTCAACTAATTAAAGGTAAAGATTTGGTCTCGTGATCAAGAGAAGTCGCTTTAAGGACAAAAAAAAAAGGAAAAAAATAATTAAAAAAAAAGGTTTAAAATGTATTATGCTTGTTTACCCCTCCATTTTTTTTTAAACTTATATTATTTAATTTGTCTACTTTTTTTTTGTTTAACATTATGCTAAACCATGAGTTATGTAATGAATATGTCGTATCGACATTTAAATAACAACGTTAATGACAAAATCGGGATTAGACTAAGAATTGAAAGTTTAAAAACAAATAATTTTAATGTTTTAAAGTTTTAGCATTACATAAAGTTCGTGTGTTGAATTTATAATTTAGCCTTATTAATTTTAATAATATTATACATATGATTAAAAGAATTATATATATATATATATATATATATATATATTAATTAGTACAATATGTAAAAGTGGAAATACGTATCCAGAATTTTTTGGTCGAAAATATGTGCCTTATCCGATTAAGCTATATTCAAGTTTAGCGAAAAAAAATATATTTAACCTTTACTGATAAAAAATAATTGTGTTATAGCAAATATTTTAATACTTTAAAATAAAGTTTCAATTAGACATAATAAAATATCTCTTTCAATTATTTTTATCTAATTTTCACATTATATTTTTCTAATGGTTAAAAAATTAATACCTTATATAATATTGTAGTTGTTGGAAATTCACCATCAAGAGAACTTGGAGTGGGTGTATACCTTTAAATGTCGATGTCTTGGTCGATAAAAATATCGAGGCCTCAATTTTATAGAAACGTTGATAAAAATATTGATAAAATATTGATGTAGATGGATATTTTTAGAAAAACTTAAAAATATAAAAAAAATCATAATAAATATTTAAATTAACAAACAAATATTTTACCTATTTAAATAAATTAAAACTTATTAATTTTAACATTAGGTTCATATTAGTGATATTTTATATATTTTGTTCGATTTTTTTCCGATTCTATAGAAATGTTAGATTAACTTTTCATGTCAATGTCGAACTCATGGACAGATAGAAATATCGATGGAAATACCGATATGTCGACAGAAATTTAATACTTTGGTATTGCCAAGCTACACTATCCCTAATGATAAGAATTCCGTAATGTTGCTAATGTTGTCAATAGGTTGAGGTCGAAGCTAACTCGACTCAAAGAACAAAGAGCGAATGTCACAAGGTTTACACTGGATCTCTGGATCTGGTATATTTCGTCATTCAACCCAATAATAGCATCATTGAAACTATGCAAGATCTTGTGAGGAACCAAACCACAACTAATATTGTCACTAACAAATTTATTTTTTCACTAAGTTTCAAACTAAACAACTTTTTTTCTCCTTTAGTAAATCTCAAAATTTACAATATTTTGATGAGAAAAAAAAAGTGTGAAAATTGATTGGATATAGAAGGTATGGAAGATATGCATATTATGTGGGGCGTACAAAGCTTTTTGATTAATTTTAGGGGTTTTAGCTGTTCATGAGCTTGTGGGCTGTGACCCTGTTGGCTTTTTGTCTCCTTTTTGCTGCTTGGTTGTGGAATTTTTCTTTTTAGTTTTGTTCTTCTTTTTTTTAAGATAATTTTTCTGATTCTTTTTTTTTTCCTTATGATAAAGTTTAGAAATGGGATCTTGAGTTTTCTCAAAACAAAAATAAAAAATAAAAAGCAAAAACGACCTCTTTTTCTCTCTTCATGGTAGGGATCAGTAGGGATCAGAAATTGAAACTCATGACCTTTTGATTAGAGACATGTTATTTACCACTGAACTAAGCTCATATTAACAAATATTACATCATGGATGAATCGGTAAAAATTAGAAATTTGAGATTCAATGAAGAGGCATAAATGTATCCTTTGATTTATGCTCGACATATTTTAGTTGTATGGATTGTTAATTATTATTATTTTCTTAAATCACTATTTGATGGTAAGGAAGTTGGCAAATATGTTTTTGTTTTTTTAGAGAAAAGGTTAAATGTAGAAAAAGTTTGAACAAGCTATGCTGTTTAAGGGGTTTTCATAACCCAACTTTTACCATATTGTAAAGTTAGATGGAATCTTTTGGTGTGTGTTTTTTTCCTAATATTACTTAATGTCTTAGTTATATGAAAATAAACAGTTTCTTTTTATTTTATTTGGCTTCATTTTATTTAAACAAAAGTTTTGCATTAATTTTCAGTATGTTCTTAATATTTGAAAAGCTTCAATTTCATTCTTAATAAATTAATTGTTTTTCAATGAAATCTTTAATATCACAATTTAAAAGAAGAATGTGATGTGTCAAATAACTTTTTATTTTTATTTTTATTTTTGAATATAATAAATTTTTTTTCTATACTAGCAAATCATTTAGAATATGATCAATAGGGACATGTTTATTTTATCAATTAAAATATAGATGTTTAAAATTCAATCCTAAAAAATGAGATGAAAAAAAAAACTGACTTAAAATGTTAGAGGCTAAATTGTATTTTTAGTGTTAAAAGAAAATATTTTACAATTAAGCAAGCAAATATTTTTTCTCTAGAAAATATTAAGTTTAAATACAACACATGGGAGTGGGGATTCAAATTCATGGTCTTTTATTCGGAGATGGGTGTGGTTTGGGGACGGAAACTAGATTGTCACGTGGAAGACAGTGATTCGGTAGAAGGCATGTTCTCAAATAGACTCTTATGCAGGTCCATCTCAGAATCTTCCAAGATGGATAGCTTAGTCACCATTTCTCTTATTCAAGTCATCAGTACTCAAGAAAATCTGTCCGGTTCGATCTGCTCAAACCCGACACTTCCGACCTCAATTCCGACCAGAGCAACCGCCTGTTGCAACCCCTATCGGGACCTAAATCTATAAATAAAGGGCCTCATTCCATTAGGTATCAAAAATTCTCCTCAAACTTAATAT